TTTCTTTGTTTTGTTGTTGTTGTTGTTGTTTGTTCGTTTATTTATTGCTATCTGGATCTTCAGTCTCCAGGGAAAACAGAAACGCTGAGACCTGTTTGCCTCTTGGCAGTTAGATGAAGAGTTGGGGGATGGTGAAGTAATAACTTATGTCCATCAGTGGATGAATGGATAAAGAAAATGTGAAAAAGAATACAGTGTATCGGTATTATTCAGCCTTAAAAAGGAAGGAAATCCCGCAACATGCAATGATGTGGATGAACCTTGAACCTTGAGAAGATTATAGTTCATAGAATCATTACATGATTCTACTTAGGTCAGGTATCTAAAGTAGTCAAAATCATAGAATTAAAAAAAAAAAATCACTGAACCAGAGAGTGGAATCATGGTTGCCAGATGAATAAGATATATTATTCAGCGGTATAACCAGAGATATAGTATATCCAGAGATATAATGTATCTAGAGCAGCAGTTCTCAACCTGTGGGTCATGACCCCTTTGTAACAATGAAAATATACAAAGGCATTAGGAAAGTTGAGAACTACTGACCTACAGATACAGTATATCCAGAGATATAGTATATCTAGACATGTAGTATATCTAGAGATATATATTCATCTAGAGATACACAGCAAAGCCCTATAGTCAATAGTAATGTATAATGTACACTTAAAAAATGTTTTCAAAGGGTAAATCTCATGTTAAGTGTTCTTACCCCAGTAAAATAAGATTTATTAAGAAACAAGTTAAGGAGGGGGAAGGTGAAGGAGAACTCGTCAGTTACTGTAGAAAATGGCATGGTCTCTGAAGGACAGGCACGCTCAGGCCTCCCAGTATTGCCTGAGTCTTGCTGACTGTGCCCCTTACTAACTTGCCTGGAAGCTGTCTAGTCTCTGTGAATTCTTCATTCCCGAAAGCAAAATCTTTTCCTTTCCACTTAAACCCGAATCTTTTAGGTTCCTGAGGCAGCCACGTAGCTTCTGGGGCCAGGTGTAAGGGCCACAGGGCAACCTAGTCAACCCCCCTGTGGGTGTCCCCTCTCAAGCAGATGGTTGATATTAATCATGAGTCATTAGAATTGATGGTGGCTCTTGGTCCTGATATGACACATTAGGTGGAGTACTCAGCCTTTGTCTGATTGTGAGATTACCTTCATTGGGCACGTGGGTGGAGGGAGATGATCACAGCTTCCTGTGTATTGTTTTGCTTAGTGAGGTTCTGTGAGGAAGTGGTAGCAATGTGAGCTTTTGAAATAGGTGGTTTGAAGGGGTTTTCTGCTCAGGGGCCAAACTTGGTGATCCATCTGTAAATGAGTAAAAAATGGAGTCTGTCAGGCTGGTTAGTTTAGGTCCTGCCTGACCTTCACCCCCTGCCTCCCATACTTACAGTTTTGTAAATTTAGCTCCCTCCCTAAAGATGCCTGTCTTGAGTAGTTTCGGTGCATTGAGTTAGGAGATTAACTTTTCAGTTGAAATGTTGTTTTGGGTCATGAGTTTTACTGATTACTGTTTACTATAAGTCATGGGTTCTGCCAATTATTGTTTAAGGTAAGGGTTAATATGGTCTCTACTTAGAACTCAAACGTATAAAACTGTAATTTTGAAAATGGAAAAACAGAACAATTTTGGAGAGGCTATTCTCACCGTTCTCCTGAATCCTGGCCTTCTGACAAATATAGTTTGCTGGACCCATAAGAAAAAATAAAGAGCCAAAAGATAACACTTAGAAGGTGTCTGAAGAGAGACAAAGAGGATGTCCATTAGGGCAGTGGCTCTTTTCTGCCTTCTTGTTGGCTCATAGAAAACATGCTTAGAGATAGAATTTAAATTTATGTTCTTGGAGAGTGGGAGTTGTTAAACTGATTTTCTGTTTGTTGGAGGAAAGAGGAAAAAAAAAATGGTTCCTATATCTGAGGAGGAGGAGGAGGAAGAATGCAGATCAGGTGAACTCCTATGCTAATCAGGATAAGCCAGATCGTGCTACTGTAACAAAGATCCCCCAAGCCTCAGTGACTCAAAGCAGCAGAGATTACCTTCTGTCCATTGGAGGTTGGTGGAGTCTCTGCTCCACACTGGCCTCACTCAGGGATGCAGGACCCATGCAGGGATGTAAGAGCATGACCAGGGATAGACTGGGGCAAGGGAATATGGCACACTGTGCCCTGGCTTCAGTCACTACTCTTGGCAACAGCATGTTGCTGGGCTGTGCCTAATTGTCTGGGGATGGAGAAGTATAGTCCTATCATGTGCTCAGAAGGGAACTGAGATCTTTGTGAAGAGCCTTACTGAACACCACCTCTGCCTCATCCAACTCTATCCCAACATAGGGTGAATATGAGCAAAGAGAGTAATAGCCCTTTTGCTGCCCACAGGGAAGAGTAAGAGCTAAATGCTTTTTGATTCACCTTGCAGCAAAGTGGAAGGGGCATGGTACCATAGCAGGCTTTAGAATCAGGCAGATCCAGGTTCGTTGCCTCCCCCAGATGACTTTGGGCAGATGACTTAACATCCCATTTCCATCCTTTTTCTACAATAACTTGGAACTTAGATTTGGAGGCTAAGTGAGATGTTGTATATAAGGGCTTAGCACAATGCCTAGCATATGATACACCTCTGAGAATGTTATAACAACAAGCCTCATCTGCTCTTTCTGAGAAATGGCAGGGAGAGTGCCTCCTTGGAGGGTGATTGTCAGTATCCAGTAAGTAACTCCTGGGAGTCGCTTACTGTGGTGCCTGGATTGCAGTAAGTGCTCCAAAAAGGTGTCTTGAGAGGTTGCCTGGGACTCTTCAAGGGCCTGTGGATAGAAAGGAAAAGAAGAATATCAGCAGGGTTTGTTTAGGTTACCAGAATGGAGATGTATTCTTGGCAGCTCTCCGAGGGGGATTTATAGCAGGATTTCTTACCTTACCTTGCAGGAAGGTAAGAAAGCCCAGAGCCAGAGGGCCTCACTCGTGGATCGGGAGGTGACAGTAGTCCTCATATATGACCACAGCTGCTCTGTGACCCAGTAAGGACTCAGCTCTTCCTTCTCCGTTCTACTTCCCAGCTCCTGCTACCTCAAATTCCAAGTGCATTGTAGCCGCTGCTCACCGTCCTCTTTCTGTGACTCCCTGCAATGCCGTAGGCCACAGACCAGCCTTGAGATGACCACCTGAAGGTTGCAGGACTATAGGAGATCTCTTTGGCTGAGCTGGACTGGATGGGGAGGGGCCGGAGCTTGTGGTACAAAGTCAGACTGCAGTGCTTATGTGGAGAGAGTGGCAGGCAGAAAAAGTCCCCTACAGCTTCTCAGAAGTGGATAGTATCACTGGCATCCCAGAGCATGGGGCCTGTGCTCT